TTTTAACGAATGTCACCACTGTGCTTATTTTGCTGCAAAATATTTTGTAAATTGGAGCAAAACGAGACAAAAACTAAACGGCAACTAGACACTTGGGATTGAACATACAGTCTAAATTACGGTAGTCCGTATGTAAATGGTCTAGTCCGTATATAAAATACCTCGTCATTTCCATACGGTCTGTGCCTTCTAGACCGTATAGATACCGCCTAGACCGTATACTTACGGTCTGATTTCATGTACGGCCTATAACATACAAAAAAAGAAAAATAGCGGAGTGTGACATAATGAAATAATACTAATTAAGAATAGGAGGTTTTTATTTACTCTCCCTTCGTTGCTCATAAATTTGAATTTAAATTATGCGGGTGTGTTGGCGCGTTCTGAACAGGCCGGATATCCGTTCCACCACTAGTTTTTAGCACATACGACTCCAGGACATGTATAGAAAATATCACAGGATACTTCAACTGATGACAAAGACAGCAGATAATTCCAGTCAATACTCAAAACTAATACTGGGCGTCTCGGTATATATTCTAATTTTCCCAATCTAAAGAGGTTATAGTTTTAAAAGAATTTTGTTATAAAAAAAAACAGTGAATCATCTTGTTTATTTTTTATTCATCTTAGTCATCTTAAATTATCTAAATTCGCTACAAATATCTAAATAATCAACGATAAAAACGCCAAAAACGTTAAGATAAGATACCCACACAGAATAAAAACTAAAATAAAATCTCGAAATCAGTTCACATCGTCACGTTTACAAGAAAATAAGTTTTAAATTGTTAATTAATTTAAAATTTTTAAACAAAATTGGTTAAAAATGGACGAGAAATCATCGAGATCCAACAGAAGATCATCTCCACCTCCTTACACTGAATCAACAACTTCGATTCAACATTTGGGGATTAACGCCAGCCCAGATGATGATAAAAAAGACGGAAAATGCGTTTGTGTGGTTTGTACTATCTTATAAAATCTAATGGTGCAAAATACATCTTATTATTTTTGTATTCATGAATAATTATAAAATTATTTTGAAAACGATTTAATTTTTTTCTTCCTTTTCGAAGATAAAAAAAGTTTCCACGTCTCCTTTTCCCTATAAAAAAATAAACGTAATAAAGTTATTAATTTCATAAAAAGTTAAAAAAAGCTTTTAAAGGGGATAAAAATGGAGTTGATTTACCTTTAACATGATTAGCCCTCGACTTTGAATCACGTAGTCGTCCTCTGGGAGTAATATTTTCGTTCCAAGAGAAATGTGAACCATCCCAGGCTAAAACGTAACAAGATTTATTTGAATTAATCCTTTTAAAAAAATAAAAATTTAAATTACAACACTCGAAGATTGCATTCTTGAAGCTGTATTAACCGTATCACCAAAAAAGCAATATCTAGGTACTTTTATACCAACAACTCCGGCAACGCTTGGTCCTGAATGAATCCCTAAAACATTTGTTTCAACTTAAATTAATCTTAATTTTAATTGTTTTACCAATTTTAACCTCGACACCACCCCCGCTTGGCATCAACAATTCTTTAACGTTCTTAATCAAACTCAAGGAAAAATCGCAAACGTTCTTAGCGTGTTCTTTGGTTTTTTCTGGAGCCCCAGAGACCGCCATATAAATTTGCCCAACCGTTTCGACTTTATACACATGAAATTTATCCATCAAAGCGTCAAAACATGAAAACACCGCGTTCATCGATGAAACGACATCCATCGCATCTTGAACCGTTTCGGAACTAAATCCGACAAGTTCGCAAAACATAATTGTGACGGCGTCGAAGGATTCGCAAGTGCTTAAAGATGAGGCGCCGTGTCGAAGACGATCGGCGACGGTTTTCGGGATCATGGAGTATAAAAGTTCGTCCCCTTTACATTTCCATTCGTCTAAAAGTTCGTAGTTTGCTTCGAGTTCTAAAGCGCGTTGTTCCGCTTTATCGAACATTAATTCTAATTTGGAGTTGTGTTGCCATCCTGCCATAACCATTTCTCGGCTCATTCCGTGTGGGTTTAAGTCGGTTAAGTATAAACCGAGTTCGGGAAGTTCTTCCATATCGCATATACTGGACAAAAAAAAATTAAANATCTTGTTTACTTTTTATTCATCTTAGTCATCTTAAATTATCTAAATTCGTTACAAATATCTAAATAATCAACGATAAAAACGCCAAAAACGTTAAGATAAGATACCCACACAGAATAAAAACTAAAATAAAATCTCGAAATCAGTTCATTTCGTCACGTTTACAAGAAAATAAGTTTTAAATTGTTAATTAATTTAAAATTTTTAAACAAAATTGGTTAAAAATGGACGAGAAATCATCGAGATCCAACAGAAGATCATCTCCACCTCCTTACACTGAATCAACAACTTCGATTCAACATTTGGGGATTAACGCCAGCCCAGATGATGATAAAAAAGACGGAAAATGCGTTTGTGTGGTTTGTACTATCTTATAAAATCTAATGGTGCAAAATACATCTTATTATTTTTGTATTCATGAATAAATATAAAATTATTTTGAAAACGATTTAATTTTTTTCTTCCTTTTCGAAGATAAAAAAAGTTTCCACGTCTCCTTTTCCCTATAAAAAAATAATCGTAATAAAGTTATTAATTTCATAAAAAATTAAAAAAAGCTTTTAAAGGGGATAAAAATGGAGTTGATTTACCTTTAACATGATTAGCCCTCGACTTTGAATCACGTAGTCGTCCTCTGGGAGTAATATTTTCGTTCCAAGAGAAATGTGAACCATCCCAGGCTAAAACGTAACAAGATTTATTTGAATTAATCCTTTTAAAAAAATAAAAATTTAAATTACAACACTCGAAGATTGCATTCTTGAAGCTGTATTAACCGTATCACCAAAAAAGCAATATCTAGGTACTTTTATACCAACAACTCCGGCAACGCTTGGTCCTGAATGAATCCCTAAAACATTTGTTTCAACTTAAATTAATCTTAATTTTAATTATTTTACCAATTTTAACCTCGACACCACCCCCGCTTGGCATCAACAATTCTTTAACGTTCTTAATCAAACTCAAGGAAAAATCGCAAACGTTCTTAGCGTGTTCTTTGGTTTTTTCTGGAGCCCCAGAGACCGCCATATAAATTTGCCCAACCGTTTCGACTTTATACACATGAAATTTATCCATCAAAGCGTCAAAACATGAAAACACCGCGTTCATCGATGAAACGACATCCATCGCATCTTGAACCGTTTCGGAACTAAATCCGACAAGTTCGCAAAACATAATTGTGACGGCATCGAAGGATTCGCAAGTGCTTAAAGATGAGGCGCCGTGTCGAAGACGATCGGCGACGGTTTTCGGGATCATGGAGTATAAAAGTTCGTCCCCTTTACATTTCCATTCGTCTAAAAGTTCGTAGTTTGCTTCGAGTTCTAAAGCGCGTTGTTCCGCTTTATCGAACATTAATTCTAATTTGGAGTTGTGTTGCCATCCTGCCATAACCATTTCTCGGCTCATTCCGTGTGGGTTTAAGTCGGTTAAGTATAAACCGAGTTCGGGAAGTTCTTCCATATCGCATATACTGGACAAAAAAAAATTAAAAAACTTAAATTATACGATATTATAGTATACGAGGTTAATTTTATTTTTAACTCAAAGTTGATATAATCCAATACATTTAAGCTTATGTAGGAAGGTTGTAGCTTCATTTTAATGTATAAATCGTTTCATAACTCTTAAAAATAAGGTGAAAACGATTTTGTGAAAATCTAGAATTTTTATTCGTTTTAGGATAAGTTATAAATTGTTATTACACTTTTTAACTTTTATCTCAAGATTTCTATAATCAAAAATAATTAAGTTTATATACGGTCTTGAAGAGGAAGGTTTTAGCTTCAATTTGAAGTATAAATCGTTTCATAACTCCTAAAAATAACGAGAATACGATTTTTTGAAAATCCTGAATTTTTATTCGTATTAGAATAATTTAAAAATTGTGACTTCACCTTTTAACTTTTATCTCAAGATTTTTATAATCAAAAGTATTTAAGTTTATAGACAGTCTTATAAAGGAAGGCTTCGGCTTCATTTTAATGTATAAATCGTTTCATAATTGCTAAAAATAAGATCAAGACGATTTTTTGAAAATCCTGAATATTCATTCCTTTTAGGATTAGTTAAAAATTGTTGCTTCACTTATTAATTTTTATTGAGTTTGACCACGGTCTTGAAGAGAAAGATTTCAGCTTCAATTTGAAATATAAATCGTTCTATAACTCCTAAAAATAAGGACGATACGATTTTTTGAAAATCGTGAATTTTTATTCGTTTTAGGTTAAGTTATAAATTATTACCGCACATTTTAACTTTTATCTCAAGATTTTCATAACCAAAAACTATTAAGTTTATATACGGTCGTGAAGAGGAAGGTTTCAGCTTCAATTTGAAGTATAAATCGTTTCATAACTCCTAAAAATAAAGACAATACGATTTTTTGAAAATTTTAAATTTTTATTCGTATTAGAATAAGTTAAAAATTGTGACT